TAGATTCAGGTAGAAGGGAAATAGAATCCACCTCTTCGTGGAAGGCAAGACAAAGGTGTACAGGAAGGAGAGGAATTGGTGGCCGTCTTGGAGACTCATGGTGGCCATTAAAAATCATGTTTTATTAAGATGTTTTATGCATTAATGTTAAGTGGAAAAAAGGAGATGACACTGAGATAAAACTTTGAAGAAAAAGGAGAGTACCAGACTTTATATAGAATTTAATAACTAATTTTGTCTAAAATTACACACACACTTAAAAGAAATTGGAAGCAACAACACCAACTTATTAACAGATATTGCCTATCGGTGCCAGGATTGGGAGTGTTTTCATTTTCTTCTGTATGCATATCTACACTTTAAAAATTTTCTATAATCATCCATCAGTTGTTTTCACAATTAAGGAAACTGATAATTTCTTGGGCCAATTAGAAAGTCTGACAAATTTCAAAGATTAGAAACATATATGTTATATTCCATGATCCCAATGCCAAAAATTAGAATGACTAGCCAAAATTAGAACCAATTAACCAAAAACTTATAACCACTTTGACATTTAAATATATCTTTCTGAATAATCCCTGGCATAGAAAAAAAACTCAAAAGAAAAATAGGAAGCTATTTACAGATGACAAGAGTTCTATACATAAAATCCTGGAATACGCAGACAATGTGTATGATATTACATACCTTCATCAGAAAATATGATTTGAAGATAAATGAACATTTAATACAAAAAGACAAAGTAAACACAAAGAAAGTAGAGATTATTATTAAGGATAAAGAGATGCTGATGAAATGGAGGATAGAATGTAGTAAAATGTATCAATAAAACAAAAACTGTATCTTTAAAACACTAAAAAAGTAGACAAACATTTGTCATACAGTCATCAAGAGAAACAAAAATACAAACATTAGGAATGAGATAGGGACATAACTGGAGATTTTTAAAATTTTAAGGAAAAGTTAAACAAAGCAATACCAGTAAGGCTGAAAAATCTGGATGGAATGGACTGTTGCTTAAGAAACATTTTAATGGGGGTGCCCAGGTGGCTCAGTCGTTAAGTGTCTGCCTTCAGCTCAGGTCATGATCCCAGGGTTCTGGGATTGAGCCCCGCATCGGGCTCTCTGCTCAGTGGGAAGCCTGCTTCTCCCTCTCCCACTCCCCCTGCTTGTGTTCCTTCTCTTGCTTTGTCTCTCTCTGTCAAATAAATAAATAAAATCTTTAAAAATAAAAAAAGAAACATTTAAATGATCATTGATACAAAATAGGTAACAAGCCTTAATAGATCACTAAACATAGTGAAAAATAAAAAAGTAACCAACAGCCAAGCCCATTTAGTTTATGGATGTGTTCTTCCAAACGTTTCAGGGATAGAGAAGTTGCTTATTATGCTAACTGTTCCAGAACATGTGAAAAATGTAAAGTTTCTCAGTCCATTCCATGACTAACATAAACCTGATACTACCCCTAAAAAGAGACCCCAAGGAAACTGGGAGCCATTGTCAACATGTATTGCTCTTTAAATAAGGAAACATTGTTTCAAGTAAGTTACTATATCTCTGTATATAGTATGTTATCTGTGTGTTGTGTATGTTTCCAAAATGATCAGATCCACTTTTTGTTGGTTATTGCAATTTTCCAGCACCTGGGCCAGCTAGGCTGGTAAAATCACCCAAGATGAAATCTGTGTGGGTATACGTTTTATCAGATTTGGATTGGGACTTCCAGCCTAGCTAGAGACCTCAGAAATGTCTGCCTCCAGACACAAGAGAAGACAGGGAAGGACAAGTTAGATTTCATCACTTCTAGGAGGACAACTCTAATAGTGGTGGCTCAGCCAGAACCTAGATTCCTAGATTCTAAGCATAGAAAAAATAACAAATTTATTTAGCTGTTGGAATTATAGAAGGGAAAAATATATCTTCTTAAGTTCATAGCAATGAGCACCTATATTAGGAAAAAAAGAAAGATCTCACATAAACAACCTACTTTACACCTTGAGGAACTAGAGAAAGAAGAATAAATTAAGCCCAAAGTTAGTACAAGGAAGAAAATAACAAAGATCAGAAATAAATTAGAGCAGAAATAAATGAAAGAGACTAAAAAGACAATATAAAAGATCTTTATTATAGAAATTTTCACACATACAAATAAAAGAAAATGAAAACCACTTGGAATCCCGCCACTGTTAACATTTTGATGTGTGTTGCCCAGTCTTCTCTGTAAGTTAGTGTGTGTATGTGTGTTTTATAATGTAAGCCATAAAAATGTTTTGTAGTCTGTATCCCCATCCCTGCCCCGAGTGGTGTGTCATGAATATCTTTCCATCTCATTAACTATTCATGTTACGGTCACATTATTCTATCTACGGTCTGTCTGTCTCTCTCATCATTTATGTAACTGAATCCTATTGTTGGAACTGTTGATTTGCCTTTTCTAGAGAACAGATTATCATGCAAAAATCTTGAATACAAAATGATTTTTGTATATTTTCAAGTAAAATAAAATGAAGCTCTGAGTAACATAAACATTTGAAACTAAGTTCCTTAGTTAGAAACAGGAGTATAATTCTTTGTTGGGACACTTTAGGGAAAGGAGGAGCTTTAATGGAAAATATTTCTTCACACCGTATATGAGGACTCTTTAGGGTATAAATCACAGATACCCCAACTAGAATTGAATGTAATGAAAAAAAACTTGTGAGTGAATATATCTCTTGTCTGTTGCTGCAGCAACACTGCAGAACATCCAGCTGCAAAACATTAGTGACATAGTAAGAAGTATTTGTTTCGTCCACTAGTGTATGGGGCTCATTGGATGTCAGCTGGACTCAACTCATGCATCTGTGATCAGCTGCTGGTTGGCTAGGCAGCTCTGCTGATCTTGACTGGGCTTGCTCAAATGTCTTGCGGTTGGTTGGCTGTTGACTAGGACACCTTGACTCTATTTCATATATCTCATCTAACAGCAAGCTAGACCGGGCATATTCTAATTACTATTGCAGAGGAAAAAGAGCAAGAAAGTAGATAACACAAGTGCTACGTCAGGCCTCTGCTTCCTTCACATATGCTACCACCTTATTGGCCAGAACAAATCATATGAGTGAACTCAGAGTCAGATTGGGAGGGTACTGCCAAGGATATAGATGCAGGAAGGAGTAAAGAATTGGAGCCATTAATTCAGTCAGTCTACCTGGCATGTGTAACTAAACTGGCCTGGGGTAGATGTACCTTCAATGACTGCTGAATCCAGGGTATCAAGTGATGTCACTTAGTTTGATTTCATACTATCTAAAGTTTGGCTCTGGGGCGCCTGGGTGGCTCAGTCGGTTAAGCGTCTGCCTTCGGCTCAGGTCATTATCACAGAGTCCTGGGATGGAGCCCCGCATCAGTCTCCCTGCTCAGTGGGGAGTTTGCTTCTCCTTCTCCCTCTGCCTGCCACTCCCCTTGCTTGTGCTCGCTCTCTGTGTCAAATAAATAAATAAAATCTTAAAAAAAAAAAGTTTGGCTCTGCTTTCCTTTGCTTAGCTTCACTCCCAAGGCAGCCGTTTCCATATGGTAGTCCTCAGAAGCTCCATCTCAAAAGCAAGTAATTCTAGCTGAAAAAGAGCTTATCTGGGGCACTGGGTGGCTCATTTGGTTGAGCAACTGTCTTTGGCTCAGGTCATGATCTTGGAGTCCCAGGATTGAGTCCCGCATCGGGCTCCCTGCTCATTGGGGAGTCTGCTTCTCTCTCTGACCCTACGCACTCTCATGCACTCTCTCTCAAATAAATAAAAATCTTAAAAAAAAAAAAAAGCTTATCTTTCCCAATTGTTCCAGCTAAAGTATGGTATAAATATTTTTGGGCCAATGGGGGTAACATGCCTATCCCTAACCTAAGGTCACTCAGCCAGTCAGTGAATGGAAATTTGAAACCTGGTTTGCCCTTCTCTAAAATCTGTGGTCTTAGTGTCTAAAGGTGAAGAAAAATAAAGTACACTAAACACATCCTCAGAGGAAGAGCAGGAGGCCATGATGAACCACAATAAGGCCATTTGAGTCCTAACATTGAAGGGATGATCACAACCCTGTAACCCAGCTACATAAAATTCTGCAACAAAGTACTTGAACTTGAATGACCAGGACAGGGAGCGTCTACTCCTTTTCTCCAGGGGATATGGGACCAGGAGCTCTAACATGGTCTACTGTTCCCTTGTACCATTTCTCCTTCAGGTGTGGATTAGTGTGCAGTAAATATTTAGGTCAACCAAAATGGAAAAGAAGTCCCAACCTGAAAGAAGTGTGTGAAGGGAGAAAAAGACAGGACTACCATTTTCTCTGGTAATAGCATTTAGGATCTGGCTAGAAGTATAGGAATCCTGATGGTCGAACCACCTCTTTTTCTTCTAGCTCCAGAATGGCCAATAGGTTCCAAACTACTGAGTCAATGCGAGTTGATTGTTGGTAAACCATCTAGATTGTTATGTTGAGAAGAATTCCTACCTTGGTGGAAATGAAGACTGTGGTGGATTAGTGATGTCTGGAATGTGTACAGGAGTGGGAAGTAGCAACATGCTTGACTGTTATTTGACATCCCGGGAAGCAAATACTTCTCAGAGTCACTGTCAAGCCACTTGTGTATGGGGGTCATGCCTGTAGGATGGAGTATTTTATAGCTAAGTTCTCTATGATGAGGAATTCTGTGGTGAATTTTCTGGAGGTCCCGACTGTTACTTAACACAAACCAAAATGCAGAGCATCATTTTCCCTGAGGAAAAACGGGCTGCTTCTTTGCTCTGAGAACTTTTAAGCTTATTTGGGAGCAGGGTGGGGGAAATATACAAAATGTTTACATGTAGTAAGTAAAGTTTGGGGCTACTTTTTAAAAAAATGAATATGGGTGTGACTATTGTTTTTGTATCTGTCATCATCATTGATCTATCAATATATTAAAAAAATATAATCAGAGTTCTAAAGAAGTTTGTTTTTGATTATCTTTTTTTCTCATTTTTCAGATCCTCTGGAGTCATTTTCTGGTACAAACTGTGAAAAGAATGCATTGAAAATTCTGGCCAATAGTGGAAATATTGGCATAACCCCCAACTTAGTGTAGCAGTCATTCTCTTTAGTAGCACCTCATAATAGAAGAAAAATGTATGGAAGTGCAAGAACAATCACCAATCTGGAAGGCAGTCCTTCCAGATCTCCTCGTTTGCCAAGGTCTCCTCGTTTGGGCCACAGAAGAACAAGCAGTGGGGGAGGTGGAGGAACAGGCAAGACACTGTCCATGGAGAATATCCAGTCCCTTAATGCAGCCTATGCTACATCTGGACCTATGTATCTGAGTGATCATGAGGGGGTGGCTTCGACAACTTACCCAAAGGGCACCATGACTCTGGGAAGGGCCACAAATCGAGCTGTATATGGAGGCCGAGTCACAGCCATGGGGAGTAGTCCCAATATTGCTTCTGCTGGACTTTCCCACACAGATGTTCTTTCATACACGGATCAACATGGTGGTCTGACTAGCTCATCCCATCATCACCACCACCAGGTCCCTTCCATGTTGAGGCAGGTAAGGGATAGCACAATGTTAGACCTTCAAGCCCAGCTCAAGGAACTTCAGAGAGAGAATGACCTCCTCCGGAAAGAACTAGACATCAAGGACAGCAAGTTAGGATCTTCCATGAACAGTATCAAGACCTTCTGGAGTCCTGAGCTCAAAAAGGAGAGAGTCTTGAGGAAAGAAGAGGCAGCCCGAATGTCTGTCCTCAAGGAGCAGATGAGGGTTTCCCATGAAGAAAATCAGGTAGGTTATGACTCATCTCAGTGTTTTTCAGCCTTGGCTTCTCACTGAGTAGTTGATGCTTTGCAGATGGCACCACGACCTGTGCAGAAGAAAGTTCGGCATCATCAAGAAAGCTATGGTTTAGTATGTGTTTGACTTAGAGACTACAAAAGGTCATAAGCAATATGAAATTATAACTTGTGATCTCATTGTCCAATAACTTTTTCACACTGTTGCAGAAGAGGGGGAATCATTCTTTATTGCCTAACTTTTATACTTGGTTATTTTTTTTTCTTTTTCAGCAGTAACAACAGCAGCTCAGATGTACTTCCCTCTGCATTGAAGAGGAAAATGTTAATTTTTGCAAGAGTAGACACTTTAACAGCAACATTTAGAGAGCCACATTTGACTGGTGAATTGAATTATTCTTGAAGTCACAGCAACTATTTCTTTCTAGAATGAGTGGAGTTTATTCTCTAAACAGCAAACCAAATAATATTAAATAACACTGGGTGGAATGGGTTTGATATCATGTTGGAGAAACACAAAAAGTTGTAACCTGGTCTTTCCTTTATCCATTCATATTAAATAAGCATGTACTATGTGCAAGGCACCTTCTTACTCTTTTTTGATCTATCTTTCATGTTATAGCAAGATTAGTTTTCCCAGTGTCTACTTGCATTTATACCCTTTCTCTGCTTTAAAGCCCTCAATAATTACTTACTGCCTTCAGAGTGAATTCTACCTCTTTGGCTGAGCTGATGGCACCTTTATTTGGAAGGCCTGAGCCAACCTCTTCCAGCCTTATCTCATACCACCTCCATGCACATCTCCTATGCTACCTGCACTCCCACTTAGTAATTTCTGCACATACTCAGGGTGTTCCCCCTTCAGTCCTTTGCTCTTTCTGTTCCCTTTCCCTAGTGGCCTTCTCAGCAACCCCTCTCCCTGCCTCTTCCCTTTCAGGGTTGGCCAGTCTCCATTTCCAAATCCTACCTATTCTGTGGAGCTCATTTATCTGCTGCTGTTTTCATAAGGGCTTTGGAGTCCGACATGCCTGGGTTTAAATCCCAGCTTCACCTCTTACGAGTAGTGAGACAAGTACAATGAGATGGGGAGTAGTGAGTGCTGTGCCATTTGGCGGAAAAATTTCAAGGTATCGTTTAACTTTCTGTAGAAATTTGAGATAATTCCAACTTGGCTGAACTAGTGATTCTTTGATAATTGGTCTTGATGTTGGCCTCACGAAGCTCTCTGCCTTTCTTGGGTTTATCTGCTGGCCCTCCTATCTGTTTCCCTGGATACCACCCCTTGGTGTCCAAGTATCTTTAGAAGGATTTTTGATCTCTATGAGAATCTGCTCTTCATTCTGCTTCTATGTGTAGAAAGCAATCACCTTATCCTTTTGACAATCTGACAGAGCCTTTGCTGGTTTTCAGATGTGGAAATGTGATTTTTAGTTGGAACAGAAAGTTGTGTTCTTCAATCCTAAATCAAATTAATGCTCTTTACTATCCTTTCTGCTTTTTTCCCCTGACTTTACTGGTTCATGATGTCCTTGTGAACCTGTTACTGCTATGTGTATTTCCCTAGTTCTGTACAGTTTTCTTCTTTAGTTGTTTTGGAAAATGTTTACAGCCATTTAGGAATGATGCAAGTAGTGACGAAAAAGTTTGAAAGCCATTCTTTAAACTGTCAGCTCCAAAATTGCTTTTATCTTATGTTGCTATCATTAAATTTTTTTTGAGCACAGACTCTCATTTATATGTGTTTATTTACTTATAAATTACATGATGTGCTATTATGCCAATGTATTATGTGTCTTTTCTGACATTCACACAGAATTAAATATGGAGGTTGTTGACAAAATAAAATAAATAATATATTGAGGTACATTTTAAGGACACACAAAACCTTCTTGCTGTTGGAAAAACATTTTAAACCCCTTGTCTATTTTGTAAGGGTTAGTTTAGTTTAAACTAGGAAATATCCATAATTCTACTTAACTGTCCCATGTTGCTGTAAGCCAGAAATAAGCGAATACTTGAGGGTGCTTCTAGTACCCCTTCCTAGCTCTGGAAAAAACTATGATCACAGGCTACCTTGGTACTATGGGTGCCCTATAACCATGTGACATGTGATCCAGTAAAAGCTCCAGTATTAATCTACTAAATATAAGTAAAATGCAATTATTTTCTTTTTTAGGTTAAAAATGTAAAAGGAGGAAGAAGCACAGAGTTTGAAAAGTCAATTTACTTGCAGTATGAGGTAGTATTACAAAGTAAAGAATATAAAGATTGACAAAAAGCAAGTTATTTTTTGAAAATTGAAGCACCTCTCCTTCTCCTGTGGGAATTATGTCAGGATCTGTTTTAGGGGTCTGTGAGTACCTGTTGGTCAGGATAGGGTAGATCCTGCTGCAGCAATCAAATCTCAGTGGCTTAACACATCAAGATTCCTTCTTACTCACCGGAAGTATGAAGTAGGTCGGGTGACTCTCTAGGGCAGCCCTCCTCCAGACAGTGACTCAGGATTCAGGCTTTCTACATCTTGACACATGGCTTCAAGAGTTGTTACACCAGAGGAAGGGGGTGTGTGGAGATGGCACATTGGCTCCTCAGTTCCTTAGGCTGGAAATGACACAACTGCACGGGGTTGGGAGGTATATTATAGTCCTCTCCTCTTTCCAGGAAGGAGAGTAAGATATGGAGTATTATAGACAGCTAATTCTTACCAGTGGGGTTTTTGTTTTTGTCAAAAAGTGGAGCTAGATGAAATAAAGCTTGGGGAACAATCCAGACTCCTGCTGTTGCTGCTGTTTCTATTATTACTGCTTCTGCTACCAATAGACATCTGTTGGGGGCTTACAATTTGCCAGGCATGGTCCTTGGAGGTTTTTGCATACATTATCTTATTTACTGTTTGCATCAGTCACCTGGGTAGGTGCTAGACTTTTTCTTGTTTTACAGATGAAAAATAAATGTGGAGACAATAAGCAGCTTGTCCAAGTTTACACAGCTAGTTAATGAGAGAGCTGGGCTTTACGGCTTAGGTCTGGTTCATGCCAATGTCTAGGACTTAACTTTACGTTCATTAACTCCTTATAGGAACACTGAGCTGTGAATATAATCTTAGTTTAATGGGAAGATCATATTATGTTAGATAAAAAAAAATGACTAGTTCTGATAGAATGACTAAGAATGTGATTTAGGGGGCGCCTGGGTGGCTCAGATGGTTAAGCTTCTGCCTTCGGCTCAGGTCATGATCCCAGTGTCCTGGGATCGTGTCCCGTATCGGGCTCCCTACTCCTTGGGAGCCTGCTTCTCCCTCTGCTTCTCTCTCTCTCTCTCTCTCTCCCTCTGTCTCCCATGAATAAATAAATAAAAATCTTAAAAAAAAAAAAGAATGTGATTTAGTGGGGTGCCTGGGTGGCTCAGTTGTTAAGTGTCTGCCTTCGGCTCGGGTCATGATCCCAGGGTCTTGGGATCGAGCCCCACATCGGGCTCCCTGCTCAGCAGAAAGCCTGCTTCTCCCTCTCCCACTCCCCCTGCTTGTGTTCCTGCTCTTGCTATCTCTCTCTGTCAAATAAATAAAATCTTTAAAAAAAAAAAGAATGTGATTTAGTTTAATTGGGATTTTTATTCTTATTAGGAATTTATTTCATTTTCCCAGAACTGTTTTTTTGTGCTGTTTAGAGTTTCTACCATTTACCATAACTGACTATAATTTCCCTTTAGAGGAAAAAATCATGGAAAATTTTTCTATATGGAAGAAAAGAACATAAAGGAGATGAGGGACATTTGACTGTGGTTTCTTATGCATAACAACCAGAGACTGCATCTACAAATGTAGTTCTACCAGTGCGTATTTGGATAATTAGAAGTTTACTAACCTAAATTCAGGTGATCTAAAACAATTCGAACTATTCTATGTGAATACAAATGGGAAGCAGGTCTATCATAGGGTGGAGGTTAGGAAGCTCAAGTGCTGTTGTATATGAAATTCATGGTTCTGTGTATTTAATGCTCACTAATACAAACCTTTCACCCTTATGTGCATTGTTGAAGAGGGCAACCACTCATCAATTCTTTTGCAGTGTATTTTGAAGTTCTAGTGATTCTGTCCAGGGGAACTGAACCCAACTCCAGATCTAAGGGAGGATGTTGAACATCCTTCCTTCCTGTGTTATAGGAAGTGCAGGACTATTTGGAACCTTGGAGGCAATGGGTAGGGGTCTGTGACCAAATTTCTTGCGTGCAAAGAGTAGATACTTGGGTTCCTGGTGGATATTCCACCCCAGATGCTATTTTCAAGGTGCTACTTCTCAGCCACATAGATCTACATGAATAGAAATACATTTGGGACCCCTAAGAGTTGCAATATTGACATTAGGAATCACTGGAGTGCATGGATGCACAGTTACCCTTATGTTATCACTTGTGCTTTTTACTTCATGATGTACTTTCTTGAATGGAAGAAGAGGGTGGTGGAGTATTATAGACAGCTAATTCTTTGAAATGGTGTGAACCCATAGCCCATGCTCTCAATGTCACACTTGTAGACTGACTTGGGGAGAGGTGAGTAGAAAAGATTTGGAGTGGATGTTTGCCTGCCACTTGAGGCAGCCCCTTATTATTTGTAATAGCCTATGGAGTTGGGATGGATATTGGGGGCAGGAGAATGCAACCACTGGAAAGTAAAGTGACCTAATTTTCTCTAAAAGTTTATATGATTGTCTTTTCTTTGCAGCTCCATTCTATTTACCTGCATGATAGAGATCAGAGAGGGAAAACATGATAGAGAAGAAGTTTTCAGAAAGTTCATAAGGACTTTTATGTCTTGCAGTTTGATGCATATAAGTTATTGACTTTTCATATTCCTGGATTTTTTGGTAATTATTAATTTTATATTTCTAATAGATTACTTTTTCAAATTAGATGTGTATTAAGCAGTTTTGAGACATTTTCCAAACTTGTGCATGGCTAGCCAAGGATCTGCATGAATATAAATAGCATCACACG